CCAGATGTGGGTTCCAAACTGGTGCTGCGTATTCTACTATGGGCCTGACGTACAGTGTACGGTCTTGAACGATTTCTTACTGAGGTGTCTGAATGCTGTTCTTAGGTTTTCCAGGCGCTCATATGCTGCAGCAGTTATTTGGTTGATGTGCGTCTCAGGAGATGTGCTCGGTATTATACTTACCCCATGATCCGTTTCCTTGAGTGAGGTTTGCAGCCTGTGGTCTTGTGTGTGTGTGTGTGTGTGTGTGTGTGTGTGTGAGATTATTTGTATCCTGTCTGTATGTGTGTTCCTGTTTCCTGCGTCCTAGGTACATAATGTGCTGTCTTAGAGTCCAAACATGTTTACGTACAGCAGTATACGTTCTACTAGTACGTGACTATAACAATTATGAATTTTTGTTACGCCTTTGTTATAATTATGCAGTATTCTATTTAGTCAATTTTGTACTTTCAAACGCGTGAATTATACTAAATCTCACAGATCTGGTGCTAGGACCTGTCCGAACCACACTATGAAGTTGATGTAATTGTAGAATAGTGTTATGGAAGCACCATTACTATCATTGAGATAAGTATCTTGGCTTTACTTAGAATTACTTTACATAAATGTTACATCCTGATTGATTAGGAGTTAAGCCAGCCGGCAGTTGTCCACTAGCACACCTAATCCTCACGAGTTTAAAGACAGGAACCCTGCAGGGCCAGCCTAAAGTTCCAAGATATAACTAGGAACATCGACACCACACTTGCGCCTACAAGATAGGCGAGTTAGCGTCCTCTTGCTGAAGTTTTGTAGGGCGCTCCTGATTATAAGCTTGAATTCTTGAATCCGGCATCGAGTAAATTCACTCCCAATCTCTGTGTTTTCTCTCCTCCCTTTTCCTAGTGCCCAACTTTCATCACGCCTACGTACCGTGATCACTCTAAACCGTCTCTTTGTTTACTGATGACATTTCTTCATTAGTTTGGTGGTCATGTTATTTTTTTCCAATAAAAGTATCACCTGAAGGGAGCACTTCTTAATCCTCACTCGGTCCGACAGTCAACTCTCAAACCCACCAGCCACAGCTTCAAAATGCTCTACTAAATTAACCCTGTTCCTCCCTTCACTTCGCTTTTCTCATTTTGAATTCCTCTTCATTTTTATGTAAATGTTCTTGTCTGTGCGCATGTGTGCTCTTGTCTGTTTGTGTTTATGTTGGTACTCGCCGAGTTGTTTGTGAGGGGTGCTAGTCTTTGCTTCTGGCCCCGCCTCTTAAATCTGGTATCGACCGATGTTATTGGTTCCTGGTCTCGTGGGCCCCATCATTCCTTCTTTAGAAGCTTTGTGTAGCGTGTGCGTGTGTGCGTGCGTGCTTGTGTGTGTGTGCGTGTGTGCGTGTGTGCGCGTGTGTGTGAGTGCATGTGTGTTTACGTGTGTGTGTGTGTGTGTGTGTGCACTGGCCTAATTGAGTGTGTGCGTGTTTTATCGGTTGTCAAAGGCACTTATCGATAGACACTTAACCTGTAGTGGTGTGTACATGCGTGCACGTGCACGTACTTGCTTGCCTGAGGACGTGCGCGCACATTGTGTACATGCGAGTGCTGGCTACTGAGCACAACTTCACTCTATGCATGATTGATCGGTCTGTTTACATTACGTTTATTCAATACGGTGATCTCTGACATTCCTAGACAAGTTAGTAGTAAAGATTTGATATTTACAAAGCCCTTTTCTGTGTATTATTTCAATAAATATTAGATTTTTTATTACCCTATTGCCCCTTGAAAAAATTTGACTCGCAACTCATGGCAAAATTCTCACAGAAGAACTGCCATGAATGTTCATTTCAATGAATTATTTTCCTGCAACTGAATATATTAAATTTATGTTGCTGACGAGTTTTTCAATAAAAAAAATCGTCTCTTTACAAGGAGGGAGAGAAGTGGGGTGTTCCTTAATGCTTTTGAAGGGCTCTTGATCCAAGTAAATGGAGGTAGCGTTCCTTTCCTCTGACAAAACATGTTTATCGTACTTTACGGGTTTAGCGTTGCTCCATAATTACAATAATAATTTCATTTCACTATTATAATTATTATTGTTCTTTGTCGAATTTTGAAGAATTGTTTAATATCCATTGTAACGGTGTTCTTGTCGCACCTATGTTCCAATGGTGCTTCTGGCTCAGACATTCTCAAAATTTGCGTTGTCACGAATATAAAATATTAATATATTTTCATTTGAACTTTGCCTAATTCAGACCTGTATGTCACATACTGTTGTCCGTGGTTCGATCCCCGGTACGGGTGGAAATATTAAGACGTGTTTCCTTAAGACACCTGCTGTCCATGTTCATCTATCAGTAAAACAGATACCTGGGTGTTAGTCGACAGGTGTGGGTCGCAAACTGGGACAAAACTGACCTAATTTGAAGGAAATGCTCTGCATAACAAGCGGCTTTCTGTATAGTAGTATATCACTGTTGTCAGCTAGGACTGTATACCTTGTACATGTACTTGTAGAAATAGATAAAGAATATTATTATTATTTATTATTATTATTATTATTTATTGTTATTATTTTTATTATTATTATTATTATTACCAGGGTACACTGTAATCCATATAGACTGTGACCCGTATTAATTAATATTAATCCATATTTGTTTTCTATTTGCTGTGACCCATATCAAGGTTTTTAGATTCTCGTAATATAATAAAATTTGGTTAAAGTTTCCTTTTAAAAGGCAATTTAGAGAGCAAATTTGGCTTAAAAATACGATAATCTGAGTTTCTACACAAAACATCAATTCTGTTATTATATTTTTACCTTACAACTAATTGTGATACTAATGGCTGACATAATACAAACATAATCTTAATTTTTAAGGGGGTGAAGGGGTAAGCCAGGGAAATGCCTCGGTCAGTGGCGGCGGGTCATTTCATGACTAAGGTCCACGTCAGAACTACGTCTCCTGTTTCCTGAGGTATCTTGCCAAAATTAACCTAATTGACTCACGAAATCGTAATGACACGATTGCAAACAAACCATACCACGGGCGGGATTGAACCCGTGGTCAGAGAGTCTCAAAACTCCAGACGAATCTTATTGTGGCTAGGTGGTCCAGTGGCTAACGCAACCACGGGTTCAGTCCCGCCCGTGGTATGGTTTAACCTAATTAATGACTGTCGTGCAGCAAACAGACCTTCACGCTACCAACTAAGATAATACAAGTTACGCTACAGTAATTGTAACAAATAACTTTCACAGGAGTCACTACCTTAACCGGAACAACTCACAAATAACTTAAAAGTGATTCTGTAATGGACATGGACGGACGGAAGCGTCGTCTGGCGTTGAAACCAATTGTTCTGCTGAGAGAGTAGTGCACGGCAAGGTTCTGTTGGAACCACGTTCCGCTCTGTGTAGAGATTTATCAAGTTATTGTTCTCTAACTATTGTATGAGCTGCCTCTTCTACGTGAGAATTATCTGTGAAAGATGGTTACTCATATGTGTTATCTTCTAAATATTAAGCTTAACGGTGAAATTTTACGAATGGTATACCATGCTGACAATCTCATGAATAACACGCAAGTCAAGCGCGTGTTAATAAAGATATTTAAGTGTTGCACGTGTGTCTCATCGCTACGGTTTAATAATTCAGGACAGAATCCCGACGCGACTTTGTCTGTTGATGACCCGATCTCTTGTGTCTTATCGAGTTATTGGTGAAATGATGATGATGTGTCCTGAGGACCTTCAGCGTCCTTAAGTCACAAGAGTTACTACGCTGAAAACAAGTATATAGAGCTTTTTTAAATCCACGTTACACTCTCGGAGAGTGAGCGTTTCTCTCACCGAGAGAGAAACGTTGAAAAAACGCCTGCTCTGTGTCAGTTAACTGTTGATTTTTCATGTTCCTCGACGCTGTCTAAACTTTAAACGTTGGATTCTCTTGGGCAACTTAAAGCCATTTACTTTAATTAAGAAACTGGCAATACACTCGTTTGCCTTATCCTTGAACTATTATTTATTATTGTTCAAAACGTTAATCCAGTTTCTGTCATTTAATGTATTTTCTTTTAAAGATGAACAAAATTGGTTAGGTTAGTGAACTAATCAATTCTTCATATGTCAACATTGTCTCATAGGACGGTTATTTTAAGTGGCTGGACATCATATACTGACGTTTGTTGCCATGACCTACTTGTTTTGGCAGTATTTAACAGAAAGCTTTGGCTCCGTAGTACCTTTAAAAAAATTATAATTATATCGTGGCTCTAAATATATATTAGCGGATATCTTTATAGCGGGCCTCTCTCTCCATAATGAATCTCTCGCTGATGTCTGTATAGTGCACCTCTATAGCGGATGTGTCAATATAGTTGACATCTCTTTGGCACGACGTCTCTAAAGCAGACAAATAGAGATATAAATGTTTAGGAGGTAAATACGGTGTCTAGGGACGTTAGGGGCCTGCCGTGTCAAGCTTAGCATAGGCCGTGTCTCCAGGGATGATGGTTGAATATAAGTGTGAGGGTCGGCAGTGATCAGGACAGTGACACGGCAACCCGTCGTCATTACTTGAGGTCTACCGCCACCCAGTGATTCTCTGTTTGTTTTGATGGTGGTGTTGTGGTAGTAATGCGGGCCCGCCTGCGTCCTGGCGGCCGCCCCTCCTTCCTATATCTGGCTATCCCCGCCCCATCCCTACTACCTAACCTACGCCACGCCCGCCGCCACACCGCAACCAGGGGTCTCCGCTTCTTCTAGAAAGGTTTGCGAAGGACAGTGCCCAAATATTTCCACGGCTGGGCTAATTAATGGTTGTTATAGTGGGGTGAGAGGTAACATACAGTGAACATCGGTGGCTGACATCTGAGATGGGCGAGATAAGAGCTGGGTGATCCTGGCCAAGTCTCGCCGGCCAATGAGACGACTCGGTGGCTGATCTATGGTACGGTAGGCGGGGACCATGATGGCTCCGCCTCCGAGTCCTGGCCTCGACCGCCCTTAGCCTCTTCCACAGTGTGCCTCTCGCTGTCCGCTAGAAAGGAGTTGTTGTGCTGCGCTGCGCTGCGCTCGCGACACTCGATATTCGTGTGAGTGACTGTGTGAGACAGTTGCCGAGAACTGTAGTTTGCGCATTGAGCGGCACTGCCGTGTAGAGACAGGGCAAGATGATAGTGTGTTGTGCTGGCTGCCAGAAGCCCATCACAGGCAAATTCCTGGTGACGGTGCTGGACAGGACGTGGCACGCAGAGTGCGTCCGCTGCTCCGACTGTGGCTGTGCCCTCACCGACAAGTGTTTCAGTCGCGAAGGAAAACTTTTCTGCAGGAGCGACTTTTTCAGGTGAGTGTTTTGCTCTTCTGTGTGGCCATCGTACCTGTGTTCTCTATACAACTCGCCCTACTCTAAGGGCTCTAGGCACACTGCAAGTCTTGCCAAGACGAAATGAACTGTTGAACTACTGACTTCCGCGGAAATGACGGTTTCAGCTGACGAAGGGAATAAGCGATCAGGTAACAATTGAGGAAGCTATTTCAGGTGCTCGGCGGCATTTGAGACAGTGACAGTAATGAGAGGGTAGAACAGGAGCCGACACCTGCTTCCTCACCCACCCATCTGCCTTGCGTGTTTCGGACTCTCAGACCATTGATTCCCTTTTTCACAATATTTATTCAGCCTTGTTCGGCATTTGAGTGAAGAGGAGTTACTGACATCAGTTTTGTTTGTATACTACGCTTTGTTAAAATAGTAAATGAAATTTTCCACTGAAATCAAATGGTTTAAATTTGACCAAGCAAGAGTAATTGTAAAGCTGCCATTAACGAAAAAAAAACACCATTAACGAAGACGAGGAACCAACATAATTATGTAATATAACATGTGTTCTTCAGCTGAAGTCTTCAGCTGAAGTCTTCAGCTGAAGTCTTCAGCTGAAGTCTTCAGCTGAAGATGTCATGTGACATCGAATAATAATACGTGTTCTTTGTTCTGTTATTTTAACGTAATTGTGAAAATTATAAGAAAAATTACCATTGTTTAAACTTGCTTATTCAGCAATTCTTAGAAATTCTTGGTGTGTGTATCTCTGTGTATATATGCTGTGAGTTTACTGTATTCTCTGTTTTAGAGATTACAGTATCCTTGACTAGTAGTGCGCAGGTGAAATGCAACCTTAATGACCCTCGTGCAGTCGAAAGAACTTAAACCCAACAAATCAACTAACAATCTTGGTAAGCCACTCACGCAGCATGTTACCGGGTGATTATGGCTGGAGTAACAACACCTTTGGCTCACCTCTGATGGACCCGGTTTCGATCGCATTCCAAGTGAAAATGTTGGTTATATTTCCTTACACCTGTTGATCCTTTTCACCTAACAGTAAGTAGGTACTCGAGTGTTAGCCGACTGTTGTGGAAATAAGCCATGGTGGCTTTATTGGGTTATCCTGGGTTACTCTCCCACCAGATTAACAATCCGAATAAAATCGTCTTCAGGAGAATCTGAATCGACATGTATACTATTCCTTTTGAAAATATTGTTAATCAGTCGTGTTATTATTACAATTCAGGAGCGTATTTTCTCACTAGTAGCGGACGGAGGGTCGAGCCTACATTAAGCCTAGCGCTTAACTCGCATAGGCTTAGTGGTTAATAAATAATATTCTTGAGCGTTGTCGATTATTTTTCTTCGATTGAGTGACTGATGTTCATTAATTTGATTACCTTATAATCTTGAAGATATGATTTGTACGTGTACGCGATTTTTTTTTAAATATTGTATGTGCTAATATTGTGAACCACAATGCAAATGCACAATACGGAGAGAGAGACGTTTCGCTCTAATCAGGACTATTTTCAAATCCGGGACTGGCCGACAGGTGTTCGAATGTGTTATTGTGATTTAAGTTTTCCTCTAAGATACAAAATATACTAAATAAAGACGCAACGCCGATAAGTAGTAAAAATAAACCAAAAAAGGTGAAATCTTTATTACTGCAACGTTTCGTTAAAGAGTGGCCTCTGTACTGTACATTATGTACTCCGTAAAGTGCACTCAGGTGAACGCTGTACCAGTCAAGATTTCACTGTATTAACAGTCTATGCACTAAAATACTTAATAGACGGATATTTTATTTTGTAACTGATATAGGTATCAGATATATTACTGCACCGGACGTATTTTGACTTAAGAAATATTTGAAGATTTTTGTTTGTTATTGTCTTGGGTCGAGATCGTGAAAATTTGTTACAACGAGAAACTGGATATGCTTTTTTGAAACCATTATTATTAGTAGTACTATTATTACTATTATTATTTAATAGTCTCTTCATTAAGACCACTGTTTATACCTGGTATAAATAAGAGGTTCTTAAACCCAGTATGTCCCCTTACCCACTCACCAGACTCGAAATCATCACCGCCAGTCCTATTAGGTACCAATATGACTTAAAAAAGATGTCAACTTGGGTTTACTTTACATATGGATAACTAGCAACACAACAGCTG